GGACCACCCAGATATTTGGCATGATGACAGCAGGTTTCCTCTGCAACGGGATCAACCCACATGGATATTTGGCATGCCAACATCTGTCTAGGAGAGGTATCCAGAGACCAGACTAGTATAGAGTATGGTTTTTAGTAGCTAGTATAAGTAGTTTCCAGAAACTCCTGTATCTAGCTTATTCTGCCCCTTTGCATTAGACTTATACAGATCTGATTATCCCCTTGCTGGATAGGCAAATTTGACTTGACTTAGCAGATTTGACTTGACTTATTGTGACTTGACTAGATGGACACTGAGCTCCGATTATTGTGTACCAACTTTTGATAGCTCAGCTACAGGCTGACTCTTGCATTTCTACCAACTTTCCTCATGTCTCCCCTCTTTTCTGAGCAAGTTCTTGCACACCACCCATTGGACCAATATTTCGGACACCTCTTGGGTTGGATCACCACATCCTGATGAACAGAAATGCAGGCAACACTGGCTGGAATTACATCAAGCCTCAATGAGAGGGGAATGCTTGCCTTGGGATGCGGATAAGATCCTGTGGGACACCAAGCACCATAACGCGGAGTTATGGAGTTGCTCACAAGAGGATTGGATGGTATATGTCTAGCCATTTGACTGCCTCCACTTGCATTGACCTTACTGCAAAGGTCTGCCAGCATCTCCCCTTAGCGCCAAAGTGCAGTGGGTGGTGCTGATCCAAGAGGTGTTCTTGATGATGGAGCATACTCTGGGATGTGCCGTCCTTGGACTGGTAAACCCCAGGTGGGTGGCCCACCTGAAGAGACTGCACAAGTGGGCATTTGCTGTCACCTGTCACAATCTCTCCACTGCACCTTCTGCTGAACTCTGGCAAACATATGTGCACCTTGACACTGCTTGGTGCATGAAGATTGAGTGGGAACTGTTCCAGCATCCCATGACCTCTGAAGAGGCCACGCAGGTCTGGTTGGTTGCTCAGTGCAAGGTCTGCAACCTGCTCAGTATCTGCAATTATATCAACTTGTCATACCTCAGGCAATACCCTCTGTCTTTGAAGAATTGGCCATTTACCTGCAACTTCATCAGCATACTTGCAGATACTGTCCCCTCCACAAATTGTGAACAACTTTTTCAAGACGGGGTGCCACTGCTGGAGCCAGATTCTCTGCAGAGGAGGGACAAGTGTCTGATGGATGACTGGGTGAGGGAACACTTGGCAGAGATGTTGGCATCTGCCTTGAACACCAAGCACCATCAGCACACAGGTTCAGCTGATCAGGTTCAAATGGCTGATGCATGTACATGCCAACAAACTAAGGCATCAACTTGACCAAACTCTCAGAGGCATAAAGACATGAAGGCACAACTTGCAGAAGCCAGCAAGCCAGACACAACAGCTGTTGTGTCTGACATGCCTGTGGCAAGCCTGTTTATGGATCACCAGGTGGCCCTGATGTGTGTCAGAGTGCTGAGGGTGAATGCAGCACTCGGACTGAGTGCAGCATTCCCCATGGCACAAGCAAGTACCTCCCAACCCAACATGATGCCGGCAGCAGCATTCCACAACTTTCCAGGATATGCACCTGGTGCAGAGTTGCTTCCCATCCCCTCAAAGCTAGGGGCCAACTCAATGACTGAGTCAATAGCTGCTTCTCTCCCATCTGGGAAGCCGCTTATGGCTCTGGACTTGCATGCCAACCCAGCATTCATTGAGAAGTACGCTGAGCCTTACTGGACTGTGGTGAAGGAGCACAAGAGGTCTGCCAGTCTTTCACATGAACTGGAGGAGGTCCTGCTACCCATATTGGGGAGTCTCACCAAGCAGTTGACTGCAGCACAGTGCCCCACTGATGTGGGGGGCTGTTAGGGCAACACAGGCTGACTAAGTCTGCTCACCTAAGAGTGCCAAGAGTCTAAGCAGGCAACAAGGAAGTGGAGTAGACCTGATGACTGAGACCTATCTACAGTATAGGTACCTGTGGATGATCCTAAGAGACCAAGTCTGAAGAGACAGTCCCCAGGCAGAGTAGGCCTTATATTTATACCTCTGTGGTGGAACCTGCTAGAACATCTTGCTTACTCAGCCTAGTCAGGTGATCAGGTCATATGAGGTCATGCACAGCCATGCACAGCAGGTCACCTGACCATCCAATCCTTCCAGCAGGTTCCAGCACATGCCAAGGTATACCAGCTACTTCCATGTCATAAAGGCTTAGTCATGTCTCTTGA